AAATAAGCAGTTAGCCTCATGGCAAGCATGCTTATATGGTAACACTAACACACATGCAGTATGCTAAAGCATAAACACTCATAGTGTACTCCGAGCCAAAAAATAGAGAACTAGTTAGAAATCATGCATGATCCTAGTTCATGTTAAAATAACTAATACAACACATGCAAAAATGCAACTAAAAATAGGCTCAGCTATTTTAAGATGGCATAAGAATGCAACTTGACACATGTATTCAACTTGGAATTGAAATACAATGCAATTTGTATGATGCGCCGAGCCCGGTGCATGCAAAACAGATGAATGATGCACGCATGCAGAGCATAAGGATGCTAATCAAAATATGCCCTAAAACTAACCATCGTAAGCGGTTAAGTAAAAGGGAGAAAGAAATGGGGGTTGGAAGACATGTATCACACACACGCACGCTTATTACAACAGTTGGCCCTCTCGACGGAGAGTCCGAATAAGAAGCTAACTAGTTAATCTAAGCTAATTAAACTAATTATTACAAAATGAAGCTAATTAACTAACAAGCTAACTAATTAAGTACAAAACAAAGCTAATTAACTAACAAGTTAACTAACTAGTTATTACAACATAAATAAGCAACTAAACGCATTAACTACTTAAATACAGAACCAAAGCATAAACTAGCTAAGGAAAGCAGTAAAGAGAGGTCCTCGGGAAGAGGAGTGCATGCATGCCCGGTCGCCTTGTTCGGAAATCCGTCGCGATGCCCCGATTTGTTTCTGTTTGCAACTATTCTCAAAACCTTGCACAAAGCCCCACAAAGCTTCAACTCCACCATGGGAACCTGTAGGAACATGGCCGACCAGTTTTTGCTACACTCTTCCAGCTTGCTGCAACAGAGAGTAAGAAAGGGCATGGCAATGTATTTGCAAGATATGTGTGCACAACCACCCTCCATATCATTTCATAAGCTCAAGGGAGTGCGGTACTCGACCTTCGGGCCACTAATCACGCATCTCGAAGCATGATGGCCGAGAAGCCAAATTGCACAATTTAATATGAAATGAATGCACACATAAACACATAAAGCCTAGAACTCTATTATGTATGATCAAGAGTGTCGGCGACCGAGAATTAAAGCAGTTTCATCACTTCAAGTATGAAACGTCCCTCGTTTCTCGTGTTTGGACTAACACCTAATCCAAACACAATGCAAGCAACAACATGCAAATATGCAATGCAACTCAAGCATGCAAAACACAATGTAAGGCATGCATACACAATGCAATGCAACAACATGGCATACTCAATGTAATGTAACATGGCATACACAATGCAAAGAACAACATGGCATACGCAATGCGATATAACGTAAGCATGCACAATGCAAATAACATGTAAACAAACATGCTCAATGGTCTTAAACCGAATATGGATAGACCTCGGTCATGTCTAAATCAGTGGCCATAACACCAAAACAAAGGCATAAAAAGGCAAGACATGCATGCTCAATGCAATGGCCTATCAACTAGGCCTAAGAACACAACTCTCAAGCATGATGGAGAAGCAATAAACATGGAAGTGTGACAACACTAAAGGTTCTGAAATCAAGTGTGAAATGATGCCAAATCATTCAAACAACACAAGTAAAGCATGCAAGAGGGCCTAAGGCACAAGGCCATTAAAGGGACTACACAAAGGGCATGCAATACATGGCACAAATGATTGAACCAATCATGGACAGAGCTCAAATAGATCTAAACAAAGACCAAAACATGCTGAGATAAAGGCTCAAAGACCTAAGCATGCAAGCATACACACTAGGCCATAAACAAGGCAATAAACGCACAATCCTTAAAGGCACTTAAAGAGTGAATGAAGTGGAAACATGGCAATACTATAAGCTCTGAAATAACGTATGAAATGATGCCAAATCATGTACACAACACAAATGAAGCATGCTATGGCGCTCAAAGCTTGAAACTAGCATAGGCATTTACACTATAGCTATGCAAAACATGAAGCATATGGTCAAGGCAACCCAAAACAGTCCTAGAACATGTCAAAATGATACTAAAACATGTATGGAAAGAAGCCAAAACAAGCTAGCATGAAGGGCCAAAACATGGATCATGCAAGGGCAATATGGGAGGATTACACTACACTTACCAAGACCAAGCATGGGATGGCTTTGCTAACAACAATCAGAGTTATATCATGGCAAAATAACCCCAAAAATATATTGAAATGATAGCTCGCAAGCTTAGGCATGAAGGCATACGCAATGATTCATGTTAAAGGCATAAAGGATCAACCCTCCAACACATTGAATAAGTGAAAGATGCAAGTGTGTGGCCACACTACATGGACTGAAATCACATTTCAAATGATGCCAAATCATGGAAATAGGCCAAGCAATGCATGCTAGTGGACTCAATACATAAAGCTAACAAGCTAGAATGCATTATAGCTATACAAAGCATGGCATGCATGACCAAAACAACATGAATCAGAGCTAGAGCATGCTAAAACATGGACAAAAGCTTCTTGAAGTTAAGCCAAAATCATGCTAGAATGATAGTCTAAAGCATGGTACATATGAGGCTGCTTCATGGAATTGTACTACAAGTGCATGGAGCATGCAAGGGGCATCAAACCCACCCAAAATAGAGTCATGACATGCTAAAACAACACCAAAAACCTACTGTAATGGAGTCAACATAAGTTAGAAAGACATGCTACTTCATGAAGTATACAAGACTAGTTTATGAAATTTACACTACAAGTGTATTAAGCATGCATGAGGTGATCAAGGCAACCAAAAACAGTGGCATGCCATCTCAAAATAACCCCAAATACATGCTAAGAACAAGCCAACACAAGCTTAATAAACATGCTCAAACATAAGGCATTCAAAGCAAGCATACAAGACACAAGGAGAGGGGATGACCCTCTCCTATTTAGGACTCCAAAACTACCTTTCCACCACTGAAAATTCTCTGGATTTCAGTGGTAGAAAGGTCATGCAAAGGCTAGAACAAGAGCCAAAAGGGATGGCTCAAAACAAAGCCTAACAAGGCCTAAGAGGGGGTAGACCACCCCCAACAAAAAAGTGACCTTAAACAAATATTTTAAGGATTGAAAAACAGAACTTTTTGCAATAGGAAGTTAAGCTTAAATCAGCATGAAAGTAGGGCTAAAAGCTTAAGCAAAACAAGGGTTTTAAGGGTTAGAAACTCACCCTTGATGAACACCTTCAAGGCTGCAACTCCAGCATACTTTTTGAACCAAAACCAGTCCAAAAACTTCAAAAACAACTTCAAGGGACCTCAGCTCCAAGAGTATGGTGTTTGAGTGTGTGTTTGTGTGTTAAAGTATGGAGAAATTACACTTTAAGGCACAAAAATGAAGGAAAGTTGCAAGATAGATACAAATGTGTATATGTATAGCTCAATGCCAAAAATCTGAACCTGGAGGAGGAGGGGGGAGGTTCTCCTTTATAGAGAACCAATGCTCAAGCTTGTTAGACAAGCTTGGGGTCCAAGGCCAACCCTCCATACGTGTATGGAGGATGGTTCTGGTGCCTTCCAACTGTGCTAGCTGGATGAAAATATCTCCAAAAAGGTGACAAAAAGCAGCCGACCACTTCAAGTGGTCGGCTGACCACCACAAGTGGTCTCCCAAGATGAAAACTGGTCAGCCATGGTGGGAGAGAGTCTAAAGCATGAAAACAATGTAGTGGTGTGGTGGCCGACCAGAAAAGGTGGCCCAAAGACAAAGAAAACCAGTTAGCCAACCAAAAAATTGGCTGGCAGGGAGGAAAGTAGTCTCCAAGGGAAGAACTAGTCTCCCACCCTTGTACCACCTTCTAAACAAGGAAAACAAGGCTTGTACCAAAAATAAACCAAAACGAATGCAAGACGAAAGTTCTGGAGGCAAGGCGCGCGGCCGGAAGCCTCAAAAACTAGTCTACGGGCATCAAAAGTGGTTTACGACCACAAAAGTGGTCTCCCATACCACAGTGTCCCTCTAGACAGAGGTAACAAGGTGTGGTTCAAAAACCACGCCAAAAGGAGAACGTTAAGTGGTCTCGAGTCAAGGTGCGCGGTTGAAGACTTCGAAAACCGGAAACTAGTCTTCAAGCGAGAAAAGTGGTCTATGACCACGAAAAGTGGTCTACGACCACAAAGAGGTGGTCTTCAAGGCCACTCCCTCCCTCCAGGGAAGAGAAACAAGGTTCAGTCCGCAAACCGAGCCAAAGCACAAAGAGTTTAGAGGTCTGGAAGCAAGGTACTCAACCAAAACTCCGGAAACTCGAAACGAGCACAACATGCACTATCACTGAGTGCTCAATCGATGACGTCTGAGTCTTAAGGTCGGTCAAAAATGGGGTGTCTATAGGAACACAATATTCTGGGTTATTATCAGCCATTGAACTGAGGGAAAACAATTTGAGAAAAGACAGATCATCACCAGATCGGCGAAAATATCCACCGAATACTATCAGTATAGGGCAAAACACAGAAAGATCTTGTAGATTAGAATGAAAAATCAACATAACCGAGTCGGCAAAGGCAACAAACAAATGTACAATCAGTTCAGGTGATTACCTGTCGCAATTCTTTGTCGGTCGCATTGTGTGGAAGACAGAGCTCTGTCGGAGAGAGATCAATTAGGCGAACTCATGTTGCTTTAGTCCGTTGTGAGAGACGCAAGAGATAAGATAGGGCAGAGGCTTCATTTGAGTTGTGGTATAAACCCCAATCTACATACTTTGTTTTGAAATAGTTAAAGGATAAAATGGTAATTGTACTACTGTTTGTAACCCAGCTGTACAAACGCATGCACTGTTAAAGTTTTTTCATATATGAAGCTACAATAGCCCCAACTTTTTTTTTTTCCCAAACAGCGCCATTCTCGTTGGAAATAAAATTAGGATAATTAAAGTGGAGTTGTTAGGAATTTATTGGATCACAGGACCAAATTTTCCTTGATGGATCGAGTTTTTCAGATCCGAACGGTGCTGATTCGGGTCAAACCCCGGAACCTTGCTCACCAAATGGAGTGACTGAATAAATATTGTGAAAAAAAGACTCCGCCCCTCTCTCTCTCTCACTCTCTCTGCGGCATGTTGACACAAAAATGAGAAGATTGGTTGGCGCGAGAGACTGTTGGTCCGGAATTTCAAAGCGATTCAGACTCCTTCAGAGAACACCCTTTTCCACAAACACCAAACCCACAATCCCCTCCAACAACAACAACAACAACAACAATGGCAGCGATAAGATTGATGGGTCTTTAACCAATTACGACGAAACATATCGTCACCTTGACAAGCTCGATTTCATGACCGCCGCTAAGATTCTCTTCACTACTCCCCCGAAGAAGAAGAAATTCGGGTACTCAACACTCTCTTCTATGCTTCTCTTTTGTCATTTCGAATCATATAAAACTGGGTTCTTGATTTGAGCTTCTCTGAGGCATTTTGTCGAGCACGTTTGCTCCAATGTCATATGATATATGGATTATGTTTTCTCCTCCATTTGTAGGATTTGATGTATTTAGTGAACTTTACATTTTTTGTTTACTTTTTTTTATCCATCTAGTCAAGTAGAACCAAAAAGCATTCATCAAAAACAAAAACAAAAACAGATGAAAACAAAAGGCATGCATGTGTGGGTGTACACATATGTTGAGAGAGTGTGTTATGGTCTCAGGTGCACAGCTAGGGGCCCTTTTGGAATATATTGATATTATCAGAACAAAGATCTGAAAACCCAATTCCAAAGAACTGAGAGACTGAATAAAACTTCTGGACACCATTCATTCTTGGCTTTTACTATTTGTGAACACAACACAATTCAACAGACCACACAAAGTCCCAAATTCATATGATATAAGCTTCAAGTAGGTAGTGCTATATATCTCTGAAGGCCTAGCCAGCTAATAAGGGGGCTTTGTGTCTTACACTTGCAAAAAGATCACATATAGCAAAGCATTGGTGAAGAATGAGATCATCCCTCTGTTGTTGTTTAATTCACTCTCTCAAAAACTCAAGTCTTTTTTTTTTTTTTTTTTGTTTTACCACCCAAAAAAAAAAATTCCATAATTTTACTACCAAAAATCATCCAGAAATTTCACAGCAAATTCTCCAAGTTATGTTACATAGCAGCACTAAATGATTAGCAGTAAACTAAGCTTGTATTAGGAGGCAATATGCAATTCTTTCAAGTAATGCCTACTGGCAACCAAAAGAAAACTTGAATTCTTGGTGGAATAATGGTTTATGCTATTTGTGCAAAAAGACTTAAAACTGTTAACTTACCATCATTTTCAGCCCTCCATTGTAAAGAGTCAGCCTTATTACTGCTTAAAACAACACTGTCCAATAGAGAGTGTAATTCTCATTTAATTTTCAAACAACTCTGCCACTGTTTCCTGTTTTTGAGTAGATAGCAAAATCAGACTTCGAAAACACTAACTCGAAGATGAATTTTCAAACCATACATAAGACCAAAAAGTAATAGATTAGGTGGAACCTACATGCAGTCTGAGGTTGCTTTGTAACAAATCTTTAAAGGTGCTCTGTTCAATCAACAAAATATTATTTCAGAATGATATAATATAAAAGCAAGTTTGACAAGGAAGCTTTAATCAAGGTAAGCCTAATTACTTCTTTTTCCATATTGGTAACTACTTTTTGTGGAGGTAAAGGAAAAGTGACAAAAAAAATTGAGCTTATATTCCCTTCACAAATCCAAGATCCAAACCCATCCTTAGTTAGAACAAGAACTTAAGGTGTTGAAGATTGCATCAGCCATGTACTCCCATATTTTTGGCAGTCATACTCTCGGCCAAATGATAGGAGAGGTAGTAGGTAGGCAGCCTTACCTCCACTTTTTTTTTGTAAAATCTTGAATTTAATTGTAGTTCATCACTCATTTCACTTTCTTTCTTGGTGGACTTTTGCTTTTCTCTATACTAAATCATTTAACTTGTGATGACTCAAGGGTATTTTAAATTTGACTCTCTTTTACAAATATTCTATTTTCTTTGATACTTTTCTCAAGGACGAAGCACGGAGTGGGGTGCTGTAAATTTTTTCAGGCAGGTGGAGGAGTCTTATTTAATCTTTAAGAAAAAAGTTATGATACAGATTAGTGTATACTGTATCTCCTATCTGCTAATCGATAAATCTTTTTGTGGTTTTATTTGTTGTCTATTATCAATCATTAACAACATTTTATTGCAACACCAGAGTTTTTCACTGAAATTCAAGTTCAATACAAAGGACTATAGTTGCTTCTGATCAAAAACTGTTGTCCAAAGTTGAGGAAACCCATTATAATTGACAGAATATGTACTCCATATGAATTGAAGCAATTCCTTCTAAGAAATGAGTCTTGGTGTATAGAATCATGTAGTAATAGTACTAGTCGGGAACAGCTTATTAAACAATCACATTTGCTAATACTTTGTTACATCATTTTAAGTATTTGTCAAGCTTTACCAATATTTGGGCAAGAGATTTATTATTGTTATGTTTGCATTGAATGCAGATCCGGAAGATGTTTATACTCCATGGAATGTAATGGGCATTTTAAGATGGTGTGACCAAATTTAAATTTTGGGAGATTTCTTACATTATAGAAAATGAATCATGCAAAAAATAAATAAATAAATAAACTATGTGACAATGTTTTATTTAGTTATCCATCTTGATATCTTGTTGTGTTTAGGTATATTTTAGATTTGAGATTATTGTTTATGCTTATTGTCAAGATGTCATGAAAGAATAATTTTCATTAGATTGCATTTATAGAGTTTGCAATGCAGTCAATCACCCTTTTACCGTGGATAGGCTTTTGTCCGTTTAAATATGATGGTCCATATCTTCTATGCTCTTTATACATGCATTCATTCTTCCATTGGGGAAATACATCTAACACCGGAAGGTTAGGATGTGAAGATGCTTTATTTTTATTATTTTGTCCATGACCAATGGTAAAAAGAAGCATCCTTCTACTAGTCATCGTAAAAAGACCCATTTATCTAAGGAATACATCAATACATAATTTTAAAGTACTTCAGGAAAACCGGGATTTGTTTCCTTGTGATCTTTGTGTGATATGGATGTTGTGTGCATGTCAAATATCCAACTTATTGGCATTTGGCACATGATTCATATTAAAACCATCTTATGTATCACCCACAGGCCACAGCCCTAACCCAAAGGGGCAAAGAACATGTAGAATTTGTTGACTCTCTGTCTAAGTTGTGACTTTCTGAGTCACCTCCTGTTTAAGTGTGTATTGAACAAATAATGGTTATCATTTGGCTTCTTCATTTTGGTTTGTTGGAACATGTTCTTATGTGTCTCTTTACTCTGGTCAGGTTCGATTTCCATCTGGTGCAATTCTTCTTTGCTTGCCTGCCTTCATTGGGTATCTCTGCTTACAGTTTTAAAGTATACCAAATTTCATTTTTAGATGCCTTTTGGTTCAGTGTGTATCTAATATAAACCATTTCATGTAACAGCTGTATATTTGGTGGCTCAATATGCTCGACACGAAATGAGAAGAATGGAGGCAGTAAGGAGACTTCATTCTTTTTGTCATTATTCATTGCTGAACTTGTTTCTTTAATTATTCTTGTTCTCTTTCTATTTCCTTTGGAGTTTCATTATATGCATCTAAATCAATGTTTCTCTGTAACTAAGACAGCTCTGGGGAACTCCATTCCAACACAATCTGCTTTTCCAGGATAACAAATTGCAAGGCATTTTTATTTTATTTAAGAAATAAAAAGATTTATCCCTGGTTTGGGAACTAGTTCAGATGGATATTGTCTAACTCTTTGTTCTAGTTCTGAACTCTTATATGCATCATATATGATGATTTGAAAATGGAAATATCAACAAAATTATGCCTAAACTAGAATTTTTGCGAATATACTTGTTCATTCACATAATCATCAGGAGTTGAACTAATTGTCTTTTCTACTTAATAATTTCTCTTCCAACTAATTGTTTGTCCATATTTTTCTCTCTCTAAAAGATACTTGGAAGCACAGAGGTATAATTCTACATTACTTTATAGAAGGTTTCAAAGTAAATGTTTCTCTTAATTAAAAAATGTATATGTCACTTGATTCATTAGATGAATATTACTAATAAACTAATTCTTATGAGCCACATTATTTGCAAATTCGCTGTTATGACGTGCTTTTTTTGATGTGCTATGATTTCATTTTATACGAGCCAAGCAATTCAAAAATTTGTGAGGCGCAATGGTGTGTGCGTGTGTATGTATTATTTCCATCTGATTTTTGTTGCAGTTTTTGAACAAGTGTTATTACTTTGAGGCATTTATTATTATATCAAGAATGACAATTTTTTTCTTTCCCATTTTATGAATTTGTGCTCCATTTTAACGTTCAAGGTATGTGCTTGTCTTAAAAATGCTAAGTGAAAATGATACAGTTCTTGTAAATCATCGATTGCTGTTTTATACTATGTTATTTTTGTAATATTCCTTTCCTATATGTTGGTGTGTTTGAAAGTTTTGCTTTGACAGTACTCATCTTGGAACTTTTATCATCTTCTCTGAGCTTCCCTTGTTTTATTTTTCTGTAACAAAAATTACAACCTCAGGAGCTCGAGCTAAAAAAGAAAGCTGAAGAAGAAGCTAAAGCAAAAGAGATTGAATTAAATGCCTCCAAAGAAAAAGAAGCAGGAGGATCGGATCCGGAGCTTTTGGAAGTAAAAGAGAGAATAAACAAACTGGAGGCGGCTGTAAAAGAAATTGTGGTTAAAACAAAGAAACAACTGGATAGCACCGGAAACAAAAACCAGGAAGATCATAGCGAGAAGAGACATCACGCTGCAACTGACCACAACAATGCCCCAAGTAAATCAGAAACAAGCAATTCTGCAACCAACGACAATTATAGTAAAAAGGCATCCAAGAATGTAGCACCAAGCTCGAGCCAAGGAAGTGCAGGTGGCTTAGCAGCGCCGGTTACTGATGGAGTGCTGGCAAAGAAATGAAGAGTAGACTGTCTATCCGAGGAATCTAAACAGGCGATGGCAGTGTATTTTTGGACTACCATTGGCATCACCTACACTTTCCCCATGGTTGATTGCTTATGTGCAGAAGTGTATACATGTTTCTCAAAATGCTCCCAGTTTAGAGCTTTCACTACATGATGCTCCATGTAATTCATCAGTTCAATTTTTAGTGCATTCAATATGTGTGAAGGAACAACTTGATGTTGATTGTTGTGTTCATGTTCATAATTACCATTCTAAGATGACAAAATTAAGCAAAAGAGTTGGTTTATATTTTGTAAATTGAACACTCCAGTCCACTGGAGGTAAGCCTGAACCAAGGAAAAAAAATTACGCTATGTTTGGCATGAGTTTTTCTGGTTATTTTAGCCCAAAAAGACATAATAGGTTAAAAAGTTAATAAGACAAAATATTATATTTAAATCATAATCATTTTATTTTTTTCTCACAAAAGTCAAAAAAAGCCCAAAAAATTATGTCAAATGAGCCTTTTTAATCTCAGGCTAAAATAGTCAAAGAGTTAAGAAGTCAAAAAAGTGAATGCTAAATAATTCAATTTTAAGGAGGGAACATAAGTTATGGAGCCGTTGAAATGGGGAATGCTAAATAATTCAATTTTAAGGAGGGAACATAAGTTATGGAGCCGTTGAAATGGGGACTTATTGTACTGTCAAATTATGTTTTATTTTTTGAAAAATGATATTAATCCTCCCCCCCCCCTTCATATTGCCTTTCAAAAAATAAGATTGCAAAGAAGTCGAATCAAATTAAGTACTAGGTTGTTCACACTTGACTTGATAACGTAATAAGTTTCAAAATGCGTTTAAGTTTGACTTGTTTATATAACAAATCAAATAGCATGAATTGCTTGATTTTTTTAAAAATAATTATATAAGCTTATCAAACTGAGTAATTAGTTTCAAGTTTCGTTAGAAAATTTAACGAGTTTGAAAATGTGTTTAAGCTTGTGATGTTTACATAATAAGTTAAGCTTAAATGAGTTTTTAATGAGCTAAACAAGAGTCGAACTCAAATACCTTAGTTTATTTAACAACCATATTCAAAGAAAGAAAAATCATTTATTACATCTAACGAATATCACATATAGTATGTCTTTTCAACATTAGCGTCACTACAAAGCAATAATTTTACTCATAGCTATCAATCTATGATCAATATTTATTTTATACATCAACCCCACACAATTCCAATTCAAAATTCACCATATAATCCTATTCTAGTCAAATTTTGCCACACGTTGGGGGGACTACTCATACTATTTTAATATTAAAGCGACACCTTCATTTTTTTCTATTGTTTAGATGGAATAATTATATGTCCCCTTATATTAGGTAAGGCTGTGAACGAGTCGATCTAAACTTTCGTATATTTGGACTTATTTATTAAGATTTTAACGAGTTCGAGTTCAAGTTCAAGCTCGAGCTTAATAAAAATTTAACGAACCAAACTCAAGCCAAGTTGGCTCAGACTTAACTCGAGCTCAAGCCTGTTCATGAGTTTTAATGAGCTAAAAAAATTATAAATTCATACTTTGCTTATGAAATTAAAATTATAATTGAAATTTTGATTATATAATTATATATACAAACAAAATAAAAGAAAAGTCAATATCTTACCAAAATAATAATATCTACCACCAATATTATATAAATGTATTATCTATAGTTATCTATTATTTACGTATAAATAAATTTAGCTATTATTTACATTATTTAAATATATAAATAACATATTTATCCTACTTTTTATACATATTTTTACATTATTTAATATATAATAATATATTTATTCTATTATTTCAATAAATGATAAACAACCAGTTAACGAGTCAAGCTTTAGTATGTTTAGCTTTATTTATTAAGATTTTAATGAGTTCAAGTTTGAATTCGAACGTCAATAAAAATTTAATGAGTTGAGTTCGAACGAGCCTTTATTGAGCCGAACTCGAACTTATTCATAAACGACTCTGTTCATTTATAGTCTTATTATTAGGTAAATACACAATCACGTATTTGGTAGAGCATGAGAGAGAATATGATTTATTTATTTTTTTATGAAGATAATTCATAAAAAATTGCATGCCATGATTTGGTTAGTTAAGGATTGTACCACATTAAAATCTATATTAAAAAAAACAAAAACAAAAAAAGAATTATACCACATTGGACTTGGGCAAAACCATAACCCGACCAGATTGAGCCCATTGCCTACATCTCAAAACCCTCCTTAAACCCTTTTTACAATAAAGGGCTGTGTTTAAACCATTTATCACCAACACTCGATCACTCACTTACACGGTCTCTCTCTTCTGCAACAATCGCTCGATCGTTATGGCCCATCGTCTACTCCGATCCTTGCGCAGAACACTTCTCTCTCCTCTCTCTTCTCACCATGAAACCCTAATTCATCATCGACAACCCTCTCTCTCACTTCGAACCAGAACTTACATCACTGAGATGCGAAAATCGGCCTTGGAAGGTAACATCCTCAGACTCCTCCGCAATGAGATCCAGTACGAACTCGACCGCTCTCCTCCCTCTCAGGTACTCCTCTCATCACTCCAATTTTCTGTTTGTTTCCCTAGAAATTGCATAAAGTTTTTTTTTTGCTGAGAAAATTAAGTAAATAGTCAATGTGGGGTTCTATATATAGGAGATGAGGGGAGCGAAGCCAGGTAGTTCAAGATTGATTTAAAAACTTAACAAGGTTTTAAAATGTGTTCAAGCTTGGTTTGATTATGGGTTTAACCGAGTCAATTAGGCGTAGAGCTGGATTAACTTGTTTTTTATATAATTCTAGAGGAATCTTATTAGCTGAGCTTAGAAAATTAAAGAGTTACAACATGGGTTCATCATTATGTTTATATGGTAGAAGAGGAAATGTATACCAAATAATGTATGGGGTATGTGGTTTGGCCCTTGTGCAGATTACCTCTTATCATTTTGAAAATTTGGATCATCGATTTGGGTAGGGATTTGGAAAGCATAAGGGAAAAAGTGTGTGAAATGTAAGTTATATTTCATTCACATTTTACCTATCTTTTCTATTTTCTTTTCCAACTTTCTATCCGAATTCATGAACCAAACATAGCCTAAAGGCTTAAGCAAAAAGATTTAAATACCTCATACATAAGTAACCTCATTATGCAAACCACAATCATTTTCACCATTTTTTTAGAGGCAAAATTCACTATAGTCCCCTTGTGCTTTACTCCATGTGCAATTTATCCTTATGTCCTGGCACATGTTTTACACTTGTTGTTAACTTGGACGGAATGTCTGACAATACACTTTAGTCCAAAAAGAACAAGGGGTTATGTGGCTATTTCAAAATGATAAGAGTAATGTAATCAACACATTGGTCAAACCATAAGGAGGTAAAGTGAAATTTGCTCTAAGAGATATTTTTATTTCCTTCATGATACCTGGCACAATCATTTGGCTTTTTCTATATGAGTAGCAAAATCCACAGAAAATAAGTATGAGTTTTTATCTTCAAGCAGTCAATGACAGGATTATAGTTGCTTTTTTAGAGTAGTTTATAAATACATATATTTTATGTTAAAGAAGTTAGTTCACTAAAAACAATTATGTTTCTTTACATTTGAATTTATGTTCATTTACCTAAGTAATTTCACCTGGACACATTTTTCAATGTAACAAATGGAGTGTGCTAGCAAGTTTTTGAGTTCTCATGTGGTTATATTCTTACTTTGCAGCCTCTTTCCAAGTTCGATTCATTTATTGTTGATGAACGGCCGGGCGAGCAGTGGATTAGATTGAATAAGAAATTTGGAGAAAATGAGGAGATTAAAGTTGAAGTGACCATGTTTGATGGCTCTGTCCCTGTTAAGAAAACTGGAAATGTAGCCACAGAAGAAGATGTAAAGCTTCACATTACATTGATTGTTGACATCTTCAAGGGGGAAGGAAGTGATGTGTTGGAGTTTGTGTGCTCAGCATGGCCAGATAACATAGAGATTCAGAGAGTCTTCATGCGTCGTCGCGACCAGATGGTTGGTCTGCCTTACAATGCGTACATGGGTCCTGGATTCAAGTAATGCTTATTTAATGGCTTTCTTTTCTCTGTTTGGTTGCTGAGAATTGGAGCAATAAATATTCCATTGAATCTTGATTGTTATATGAACTGAATTTCTGTGTGCAAAATTACTAATGTATGAAATATATCAATAGCACTCTTAAGCCTTGAAATCAAAGGCAAAATGCTGGTATTTTGTTTTGAAATACTGAGGTAATGTGACTGGCCACCACATTACAAAGTAACCCCTCTAAACTAAATGTAATTCAAATTAAATGTGATTCAAATTTGACTAGTTGGCCTTGCCTAGTTGATCGTTTTGTTCTCATGAGAAACAATGTAACAAAAAGATTTCCTTTTGAGAATGGGTTGAGCCACCAAGCACAAATTTGGTGTATTTATTGTTTTCACTTTGGCATACCAAACTTGATCTCTTGTTTTCTTCCTTGGAAACTGTTACTAAACTCTATTTGCAAATCTGAAAACATAGGAAAAACAGTTTTGCAAATCAGTATGAAATGGGTCCATAGTTTCTTTTTCCATTTTAGTTAAGTTTTGTTTATTCTTGCCTTCTGTTTACTTAAAAACTAAATGAATGGACAGTTTTACTTTGATTTTTTGGTTTTGGTGATAATTTATTTAATATATGTGGTTGGATTTTTTCAGGGAATTGGACGATGAGCTGCAAGATTCGCTTTATGATTTCTTGGAAGCAAGGGGTATAAATGATGACCTTGCTGTTTTCTTGCATGGATATATGAACAACAAAGATAAAACTGAGTTTATTCGGTGGATGGGCACTGTCAAGACTTTCATAGAAAAGAAATAGAGGGTTTAGATCTGCAATGCTGGGACTCACTTCATGATTGATCGCTTTTAATCAATAATGAATGATTATCCAGGTAAATCATTGAACACCATTGCATTTGAGTTTCATGTTCTAGGCTTGTAGCTGCACAGAGGAATGTGAGTTTAAGATAATGGGAGTGAAACAGGGATGATTTTATGCGTCTTTTGGAGATTCATGTGAAGCAATTGAAATCCAATGAAACATCGTCTTGTTTCATTGTTTGGACAGCAACCTAAATCTGGAATGATGCTTTTAGTTCATGTCAAAAGTCCATTTAACTTGCTACGAAGTGGATTTTTATTTGTAGAAATGGTACTTCGAACTTGGAACGAGCATGAAGAAATAAACGATATATTTGCTCTCAACACTTGAAGCAGATGTTGAGAGTAGGTCAAATAAAAGTAATTAGGTAAGAAATTCAAGTGATACATATGTGGATGGAATTTAGCTTTCTGTCAGAACTCTCTCTCTTTCTTGCCAATATAAAAAGTAAAAAATTCTGATGGATGGTGGATATCAATTTTTTCAAAAAAAATTACTAGGATTTTAAAATTGCTTTTTTTTTTTCTTTTTTTTTTTTTGAAAATTTTATTTTGGTTGCTTGGTTGGGACATGAAATAATTAATGGAATAACAACCCTGGTTAGTGAATCCGAGTATTAATTTTACTTTTCCTTTTCTTTTCCCAACTGTGGAATTAGATTTGTTTTAGTTTGCAAAAGAAAGTAGCTTGTTAAATTTTGATGTTTCGCAGATTCTAGAATTCTAGTGACATCACTTAAAATTCTTCATTAGCTCTGTATTTGGTTGGGGAATTTGAGGAGGGATTTAGATAGGGAAAGGGAAAGGAAAAAGGTGTGTTAAACTAGGTGAAATGTAGGTATATTTTATTCACATTTCACCTACCTTTTTCATTTCTCTTTCCAAATCTCTCCTCAAATTCCCCAACCAAACACAGCATAAATCATAGCTTTCAGCTCCCTCTCAGCTTCCAAAATCCCTCATAGATTTATGGTTGTGAAATTCCAAAATGCATGAAACCACGTGGAATTAACTTTTAGCTGTCTAACGTTTTGTCATTGTTATTATTAATTATTGATAGATAACTCTTAACACAAATTAAGGTAAATTAAAAGAATGTAAATGTCACATGAATAGCTTCTAGTTGTTTCAGAACATACTATTTGTCAAAGGGGCTCAACAATTACTGCTCTGGCCTTCTCACCCAATAGATTGCATGGAATTTTGCCATTTAGCTAGAGAGTCATGATTATGACAATCAGTTTTTCTTGTTTGTGCATACTAGAGAAACCTACCAATGTCATTATATATTCGTATGGAACTAATTTTTCCATAAGCAATTCCACATTAACTTGCTTATACTATGCTTAACAATTCTTTATTTTGTTTTTGTTAAGCTGGCTCTTTGATTAACGCTCAAAAACTACAGCAAAGAGGAGAGCATAAAGGTAGAATAACTATAGAGATGCCACTGTGTCTTCATCCAATCAACAGAGGTGAATATAATTGGCAAATGGACTTTCCCTATCAACTTTTAGATATTTTTTAACATAGAAAGGCTAAGAAGCACGAACATTTCTATGGAGGAAGTGTGTTGTGTCCGACCACTGTGTCCGACATGATACTCTTAAAAGCGTGTCCTGTCTTCTTCAACGTGTCTTGATTAAAAAATCAATTCATAAGATAGGACACTTTAGCGACATTTCGTGGACACTTTGGCAACAACCATCCAAATAAGTCCTATATGATGAATCCCTTCATTATAACAATATTTTCCATTCTTCATAACACAATTTATGTATCCTAAATATGTTTTGAATCATTTATAAGATGAATACATTATGTGCAATACAATGTTATTTAATTATTTTGCATTGTTTAGAATGTAATTACTATGCAGATGATATCTTGATGTTTGATTTATCAAATATATAGTTTTTTAATGTAATATATATGTGTTTTTTACATTTTTTTTTAATCTTTTAATAAATTATTCATATAAATGACATATAATGAATTTGTAGCGTGTTGTGTTTGTATTTTTTAAAATTCGACGTGTCTATGCTACTTAGTAGAAAGGGATAGTTGCTTACAAATTATTGATATTGAGTTGAGAGTAAGAAATTGTATGCAGTACTTCGATGTAAACTTTTTGCACAATACTTCCTGTTATTTATTGCATTTTATTATGAATTCAACTATGACTCATTTGTTTACTTATCTCTGATGAGGTTAAAAATATGAATTTAAGGAAAATGTATTGGGAATCTAGTTTATTTGCTAAATTTCAACAATTTGGAAAGTTCTAGTCACATAATGATGGAGGTGGATATTTGTGATGAAATAGGGAAAGTCATGGTGGATACCATTGGATTTACTTTCTTCTTCTTGGGCAGCTTAGACCAATCCTTGAATCAATTTTTTGGATTTTGTAGTATTTTTTTGGTAGTTTTGGATGTATAGATTATGTTAGTTTTGCTTATAGGGTGTTTTTTGCATACCTTTTTGATTAATGATATATGTACTTGTGAAAAAAAATCCCAGTAGTGGATGTAATTGGAAGTTTATGATGTTTCAGATCACGAGCTTTGATTCCTTGTGATGGTATGCGTGTGAAATATATGGTCACTTGAGTAATAGAGCAAAGATGTGAGACATTAGCCACTAGGTTGAAATGAGTCGATTTTGTTTCGTAGAATGTCTAGTAAATCAATTTCATTCATGGGAGAGACTTGAAAATGAGATGTTTTCATGTCAAACTTTGGTATCCTTTTGGCTATTGTTTGTTTCCTTGCATCTCCATTCTTTAAATTTGGAAAGAAAATAATTTATGCATTCATATGCTATGGTATGATTCCCTTTATATGGGATGAGCATACACATCTTCAGTGATCTAAAATGCTCATATTCAAGACATGATTTTAATAGTTAAGTTAATAGAATAAGAGCTTATGGTTAGTGGTTGCAAGTCAATGAGGTTTGTTTTCACATTTTGATGCAACTACACAACATACCTGGATATTTCGAGAAGTTTTTCTAAGGCTTGGAATGTGGAAAGATTCTTTATAAGTTTACATATAGTACAATAGCACCAACTATTTTAGAGGGAGACTTGTGCATTTTAGGTGACACGTGTAAGAGCGTTGGGAATGCATAGGCCTCTGGCCTTCCCTTATGTCAAGGTTGGGCCCTCCTGGTTACAGGCCACCATGCTTGTGTTTCATATAATGGCTGCTGCTGTTTATGTATGTTTTAATGGCTTAAATTTGTCAAAGCAATGGAAAAGATTCTGGGAGTTAATGATAAAGCAAGGACACTTTGGAGATGTGTGCTATGTAAGGATTTGTGGGTTGTTTGGTTGGATGGAATGATAGGTTTTTGGAATAATTGTGGTCATTTAGGGGGCATTTGGGATAAAATTTGTTTTCTTTTTGGTCTTCGTTATCTCCTTATAAGGGGATTCTTCCTTTGTTTTTAATTCGGGTAAATTATACTGACCTCACTTGAGATTTAAAGAGAATAAAGCTACATCAAGCACCTTGAGATTTTAATTCATATAGCATTTAGTCCACTTTTCATCAATAATTTTTTAGTTATATATATGAAAATTATATTGTCATCTCTTTTATAAGAAAATGTATATTTTATGTTTTTTTTTGTGTTTTCGTACCATCTTCATTAGTTTTGGTCTATTTAACCTTATTAAAAGGAGCTTAGTGTAATTATGTCAAAATTGTGAGAATTATTGTATTTTTTTCAAACCTCAAAGGAGGTCCGTGTAATTTACCCCTTTAATTTCGAAGGATTCTATGGATTGGAGAGGGTTTTTTTTGGCAGACATTTTGTTTGCTTTTACTTTTTTTTCTTTTTTAGTAATAATTTTTATATATATTTTTTTTTGATGCAAAAATAAAATAAAATTTTGGGTGTTGCAGTCTAGGATGTGAACCAAATTTATGAGTCAAACTTTTAGGTCCCTATTACTTGAGCAATTGTAGGTGTTTGTGATTTTCAATTCAGCCTTTTAGGGTTAGGTTAGGTTGGGTTGGGTTGAGTTGATAACTGTTTGTTTGGTCATTTATAGTAAGGTTAGAAACTCAAAATGATTGACCTATCAACTAAAGTACCTCCAACCTTAATGTTTGTGTTTGGATCATAGATTTTTGTAAGGATTTGGTGAGGGGAGGAAATAAAAAGAGAAAAGTGATAATAAAATTATAAGCTAAATTTTTTGTTGTTTTTTTCTTCTTGTTTCCTTTTCATTTACAAATCCATTCCTAAACCTTAGATCCAAACACAATCTTAAAAAATTGGTTCTAGGTTGGTAATCTTTGGATTGTAAATAAGATTATAAACGAACTCTTCAATCATTTATTTATAGGGTTCGAGCTCAGCTCATTTATTTATCGAGCTCTTCAATCATCTCGATAATATTAATCAAGCTCGATCTTGGCTTGAAACTTAATAATATTTTTTCTATTATTTATATTATTTAAATATATAAATTATATATATATATATATATGTTATTTATACATATTTTAATATTATTTAATATATAAATAATAAATTATTTTATAATTTAAATAACGATAAAAGAAACGAGTTTATATGTGCTTGATCTCGGCTCATTTACTAAACAAGCCTAAAAACTAGGTTTGAACTCGTTTATTTACTTAAAGAGCCGAGTCAAGTTGAGTCCTTAACAAGCTGAGTTGAGCCGAGCTCGCGAATAACTACGGTTCGTTTGTAGCTCTAATCGTAAATATGTCTAAGTTACCAGAAACCAACCCATTTAAAACAGTGAACGCACTTCCTAGTTTTTTTAGACTTCTTGGCTGGTTTAGGTTAGATTTTGCCATTTTTCAATATTGAATCATTTGTTGAAGGTCCCTTTACTCTTAAGCAAAAGTTTGATATTTGGTTGCGTTTTCGTTCTATTTTCTGTTTTTTTTTTTAAATTTTGGCAAATATTAAAATAAGAAAAAAAAATTTTAAAAAAAACTTGTTTGATGAACTATTTCTGAAGATTTTTTGGGAAATTTTTTGAACATAGCGCACTTTCTAAGAAATGCCAAAAGAATATTTTTGAATTTTTAAGAGTGGGTGTTTTTGATTATTTATTGTCTTGTTTTTGATAAATGAAAACGAAGAAACCGAAACACAATCAAACACGTGCATAAAATCCTATATTTTTTAACATTTGTTTTTTCTTTTAGTGTAAATTATACTAATCTATTTTAAGGTTTCTACCCTCTTTTCATTAGTTCTATAAATTAAAAATCGATATTGACATACCTTTTTGCACTGAAATGTGTGTTTTACTTTATTTATCCGTGTATTTTCACAGTATATTCATTTATTTGTTTTTGGTTGCTTTATCTTAATAAAAAGAAAATCAATATAATTATGTCAAATTTATTAGTCTTTATTGTATATTTTGTAGACATCAGTGTAATTTAACCTTCTTATTGTTGGTGGTAAGGTATTTTGTTGAGCAACAAGTCTTTTGATGCAAAATCATATTCATTGTGGTATGCCTTATAAAAACAAAATGTAGTGTCACTTTGAATCTTTTGGATAAGGTATCCACACAAAAACTAAGCTTGATTGGTGCATTACAGATAAGTGCTTCTGTGGAAGATTACACCATGTGTGTGTTTTTTCTTGATCCATTTGTTTGGTTATTTATGGTTGTACAAAAATGTTGTGATAAATATCTATGATGCATTTGTTGAATTTTTAAGATTCATATGAAATGTCATACATCTCTCTCAGTAACATCATCAGGAATAAGGTCAGAAGTAAGAATACATTACATTGGACATGTTTGATGGCTTAGGGAACATATAATGTTGCTTTCACCAACTGCAGATATGTAAACACCACTTTTTAGGGTGGCCCTTTTTTTTTTTTGCACCAATAAAACTGTCCTTTGAGATATTTTGATGAATCATGGAATGACATTTTGGTCAATTCATAGAAAAATGCTCACCCTATCACCAAGGCAAATTGCTAACCTCCACTGTTGGCTTTTGACATTCCAGTTCCCAAATTTTTGAGATATAGGTGTTCTTTTTGTAGCTTGTGTTTGATCTTCAATTTGTAGAGAAATAAATCATAATTTTATTTTTATTTTTTCATTTTTTTTTTATATTCTCTCTCCACATATTGAACATTCAAATAGAGTTTTAATGTAATGAAGAGAGCATAGTTTGTTTGTTTGGTGGGACATGATAAGTGGATAAGTAATACAGTGATTCTTATATGTGTTTTTTTTGGGGGTACTATGAGTTATGTTTGATTGCTGGATTGTTTTTTATGGGATTAGATATGATGGATTATAAATATGATTGTAAAGGATAAGTTATACCATGTGAGTTAGGTGGAATGAAAAATTGAATATATGGTTAGGACTATGGGGGATAAGTTATACGGTGTGATAAATGATTGGATAGAGTAAGATATTTATTATATTTGGTTAGAATGAAATAAAAATATATCATTTTTTTTTACTGCTAGATAAAGGAAAAAAATAATAATTCGGAGATGCCTCATTATTTTAATACCACACTACTTATTGTATTATTTTCTCTCTATTTTTCACTATTTAATTTTTCATATTAGTACTAAAATTATTTGGAGTTTAGTATGATGCAACACAAACAATGGATTGGATATTCGGTAGGATTCACATGTTTCCTCCACTTTTAATCTCACCAATGGTGAGGCAAACAAACATGCCTCAGGAATTATTGGATGGGATTGCATATATTAGAAGATTATTTTACTATTTTTGGTCAAAATGAGAGATTTGAAGAATTATTTTTGGTTTATGATTTGTACTTCAGTTGGTACTGAAACAAATGCAAGATTATGAATTCCATGGGACACAAATTCTAACATGTGATTCCTTATATTTTCCTAGTATAATCTCATCTGATTTAA